CGCCGCGCGCCGACCAGGCCCGCATCCTGTACCTCCTCGCCGCAAAACTCGCCCTCCTCCGCCGCTCCCACCTGTGCGCCCTCTCGCGCGAGGACGGCACCCGCCCTGCGAGCGCGCCGACCACCCCCCGCCCGCCCGCGCACCGCCCGCGTCCCAGACTATCCTGCCCACCGCGTCGCCCGAGTCGCCAGAGTTTCGTTCGCGCTCCTCGTTTGCCAGACGCACGTCCCGCTCAACGCACCGCGTGTCCTCGGATAACGCCTTCGCGGCGCAGCGAGACGAGCAGCGCGAGGCACGGCGCAGCGAGCGCCCGGGGATGGACGGACGCGCGGCTCGCGAGCCACCATGCGGCGTCCGGCACGGAGGGCGGGGGATGCTCGAGGCGTGCGAGGCGTGGTGCTCCTGTAGCCGACCGCCACGGCCCCGCGCACACTGTCGCCTTTGGGCTGCGCCCCATTTTGCAAGCGCGGCGCGCCCTGCAGTTGTAACCTGCAAAAAACATTTAATCAGGTCGACGAGCTCCACTGCGGGCTGCACATTGAGCGGAAGCTGCGTGTAATCTATCCAGAGCGCTTCTTATCGTGGAAGCGCGCACCCTGCTCCTAAACTTAGTTATGCTATTTCCATTTCCTCGTGGGGCCCGTAGACATTTGAGATAAGCGCGCGATTTGACGACAGCTGTACCACGGCCACCACGATCGTGCAAAGGCACAATGGAGGACTCATAAAGACTGAGTCCCCGCTCCAAATCCGCACCCTTGTCGCCAAACTGAAAAAGTATCTCGCAGAAGGCTTCTGTAAGTGCCTTGTATTTAGAATGCGCGGTCGCCCATTTGCGCAGCCGATTTTTCTCCGACGTTGTATAATCTATCAAAGGCTTCTTTGTATAGATTGTCTTAAAAAAGTATGACAAAATCACGTCTGCCATACTGGGTATCCCTGTGGGAGCAGGGAGCTGCTCTTGATCAACGCGCGAACGCCGCCCGCTCGAATTCCCTAGCTTTGTCTGCTGAAAATCATTTTTCACCGGCGCTGTATTGTTTCTGCGGGAGCTTTGGGAGGGATCGCGGTACCCAACTTCGAGTACCGCTGCCGGCTGCACCGCCTGTCGACGGCCAGAAAACCTGGCGTTCACGGGTGGGGGGATTGGCTGTCTATCGACGACCAAACGTTCTGCAAGTGGTTACGTTGAACGCGGAATTGAACGTTAGTACAGTAGTTTACATTCACAGGCACTTGTGGACGGACGCGTTCAAACGCGTTCGCGTGCAAACAGCATAACAACCGACGTACCATGCGGTGTACCGACATGAAAAAAGTTATTCGTAATTGACTGCGACGGCCCTGTGCGCCATGAAGATCCACCAGCCCTTTCAATATTTGCCTGTGTGTTCAGCACAGGCCTTGACATGAAACCAAACGCGTTGCGAGTAGGAGGAATCCATATATTGCCCCCTGGTGGACTAGCCATGAATTCCAACTCGTGTTCAGCTAGCTCCGACTGACCGCCAGCCAGGCCTCTGGCACAGCACTCCAGCTTGAAAGCTGCCTCAAGAATGACTGCCGCTCGCATCATGGAGCTTTGATTGCTACGTACGTCTCTCTTGTGGTCCAGCACTTCTGCTGGAATTGCCCGTTGTTGTGCTTGTGCCGTTCGGGTTCCTACCTTTGATGCGAGAGCCTCTACAGCCGTGGCCTCCAGCAGAGCGTCAGCAGCTGCGAGCGCTGCTGAAGGTGCAGTAATTTTCGCCGCGACTGGCTTCGTGAGAGCTTCGGGGACTGGCGCCTTATTGACTACACTCGTCGGTTCGTTGGCGGTGGTGGTCATGAAGGCGCTCTCTGCACCGGGCGCAGTGGTGCTGGCAGAGCGGGGGGCAGACAACATTGACATTCTCAATTGTTGGTTGAGGAAGCTGTCCGTGGACATACGGGAGGGGCGAAAGGGAAACGGCGGGTGCGTTATGGTACTGGACGGTTGGGGTTATGATGTATTTTATAGGAATTGATAGCGTTATTGTTGTAGTCATGGGCCTACGTATGCCCATGCGGCGAATGAGAAGCGCGCGTGGCCTGCCACCCGGCCGCACGCGCCGGCGTAAACGCCGCGAGCCTGCCGCTCCGCGCTCCGCACTTCGCCCCTGGAAAACCACCCGCCTAGCTCCCCCGCACCCCGACGCGACGTTTCCTCATGTCAGGCCGCCCTCGTCCTGCATTTGTCTATCCCATTTGCTCTCTGCGCACGTCATACCAATGGCGTATATGCCCTTGGGTGTGACTGTAGAGCGATTTCGGTAATCCCATCTGGGCCGAGCCCAAGGCGAGTGTTGGGGTTGCGGTTGAGCAAGCCGCGGATGAGCGGTTTGAAGTCGGACGATGCCAAAGACCCAGAGGTCAACCAACTGTCCGCACTCGCAGCCGCTGAGCATCTCTGGGGCGACGTACTCGCGCGTGCCGCAAAAGGTCTCGGACATGTTGATGGGGTTTGCCGGGGTGATGCGGAGGTTGGACGAGGGGGGCGGCTGGGGCTTCTGGGAAGGGTGCTTCCGCTTGCTCAGCAGCTTGATGAGGCCCAAGTCGGCTCGGCGATGCGGACGTGGCCGTCCAGGTCAAGCAGGACGTTCTCCAGCTTCAAGTCGCGGTACACAACGAACAGTATGTGGATGTAATCGAGGGCGAGGAGGATCTCGGCGGGGATGCGGCGGCGCGCCTCCTTAGCTTTCACTCTCTCGCTTTTCCTAACGTTCGCGCCGCCCCCCGTGTGCCGCCACGTCTGTACGGCGCCCCCGCCCGCCCGCGGCAGACTGCCCCGCCGGACACGCTGCGCCACACACGCCCCGCCCAGTACCCCGCCTTATTCTCATCACCCAGGGAGCCCTGCCTCCCGGTGATGAGAATGAGGCGGGGTCTTGCCTCCGTAGCATCCGCTAGCGGCGTAGGGGATCTTACACCTCGCCGGCAGCCGCATGTATATTTGTACCCCGCCCGCCCCCTGCACTCCCCCCACACTATCTCACTCACTCCCTCGCCCGAACACGCCCAACGCCCGCACGATGAATCTCCAGGTCTGCACGCTGCTGCTCTCGGCCCTATTTTCCCTCGCCGCGTCGTCGTCGACGGGCGAGGTGCCGGAGGGGGATGGTGAGGGCTGTGGACGGGCCGTACAGCTACGACACGACGCGGACGAACGGGCACGGGCCGCTGTCGTCAGTGGACGAGGAGTTCTCCGCGTGCGGTGCGGGCGAGATCCGCCACCCTCAACTTTCCGGCGGCGGTCGGCGTCTCACCGCTGGCCCCGCAGCCCAAGCTCGTGCGCGCCGAGTAAACGCTCGGCCCGGCCCCGCCAGCTGGAACTGGGCCCTCGCGTGGCACTTCCACCACTCCGGCGAGCACACCCTCATGGGCAAGCAGTTCCCGCTCGAGAGCCACACGGTGCACCAGAGCGAGGGGGTGTGCGGGAAGGAGAGGAACACGGGGTCAGTAGTGCGCTTGCGCGGCGGAGGATAGCGCGGGCGCTCCGCCAAGCGTGAGATGGGGCCCGAGGTACGGCAACGGCGGAAGCAGGATGAGCTGGCGCGGGAGCCAGTGCGCGCGGACGGTGGTCAGGGTACCGGTGTCGCAGGCCATGAAGGAAAGGGAGGGGAGGCAAGGGAGCGGTAGAGCGGCATGCCGATGACTCTACTCTGCACTTGGCTGCGTCGGGAGGCCGGGGCAAAGGCGAATCTCGGCGGATGAGGGGAGACGGGTGCGGCGGTAAGTGTAAGGCCGGGAGCGGGCGTAGCTGTCAAGACGGCAGGAGGGACCTTTTCTTGCATGGGCGGGCTCGGGCGGCGGTGGCAGGAGGCGGGACGCTCGGAGCCTGCACCATCAACGGCAGCTTGGCGCGGGCGGGCGGGGGGTCGGCGACAACGGCGGAGGGCTCAACTATGTCGTCGCGGGCTTCTGACGAGGTGGGGTGCCCTTTTATTTTGGGGGGTAAATTTATCAATACTGTACATGAGGGGTGCGCTTACAGATACAATTCTAGGGATTCATGTACCTACTAATATCATTTATTTATTTTTTGAATGCATTTTTATTCAAATTTATTTTTTGGGGGGTCGGTACTGTAGCACGAGATGGTCTGGTATAAATTGGTTGGAAATTTACTACTGCTACCGCCAGAAAGGTCGGGCGGGAGTGGTGCACACGCGAAGGCGGGACGACGGAGAAGGGGTTTTAGCAGGGGTGGTGTGCTTCGGTACCACTCGACGGAGAAGGGGTTTTAGCAGGGGTGGTGTGCTTCGATACCACTCCCCTGCTACCCTTTTCTTTTGGTCGCGAGTTCAATTCTTCATGAGTGCGAATTTATTAAATAATGTGTTAAAATAATATGTTATTAAATAGTGTGTTAAACTAATGTATAGATTCCTGAATGTCAACTCATAATTTTAAATAATTTCTGTATTCGCGCAGTTTTAATTTTTGGCAGTGGCCCGCTGGTATGGGGCGTATGAGCTGTTACCCGCTGCATGTTACCCGTGCTCACGGATCATAGCATCTCAAGACATACGCCTCACTCGGGCTGGGCGAAAGAGCGTCAAAAGTATTTAAAATATATGGTCGGCAATTACCGAGCGTTCGACAATTAGCGCACCCCCCCTTTACCCTTGGTACAGTACTCCGGGGTTCGCTGGCATGCAGAAAAACGCACCTATCCCTTTGCGCCTGTGACAGCGCCAGCCGGATTCAGAAAAACTGCTGCGAGGCTGTCGCCGATTGTATTTCAGATGTTAGGCATGATGCCATTTGACCTCTGTCTTTACTGCACTTGTCCTTCGCCCTAAAAAGGAGGGATTGTATACAAAACTACATAGTGTTTCTGTGTAAATAAAGAAGCCAATCACTGCTGACCGACATTCGAAAACCTATGTTATACAAATGTACGGGACTGGATAGGTGCCAGGTAGAAAGTCCCTGACTCAGTTTGCATCCAAAGGGAAGCACAGCAGAATCGGTATCGCATGAAAGTCCAACGAGGAATCTCCAGTGCGCTACTACCAACTCCTCGCGTAATTTTCAGACTCAAACAGTATCAAAATAATGAGCATTGCTTGCGACGTCATCGTGAGTACTGCATGTGGATTGGAATCCGAAGATGGGCAGGGGGAACCTGGAATCGCTTGCTCAGCCAACGAGGATTCTGCCGAGAGCCACATCCGACTTGTCTCTGATTTTCAGGTTCGTAACATACAAACTATTAAGACATGGGTGAAGTGTCCTGGGCCCTGAATTCGGAGCGCTAGCAAAGGCAACCCACGCACAGTACTACTGAGACGTGAGCGTCAAAACCGCCAATGAAACGCCAATAGTTCTTCTGTGTACCTCTGTCCTAATCGGTTAGAAGAGAACATTGTGCGTGGGATTGCAACAAGCGACGGATCACGTTTTCAACTCTTCATCAGACTCAATGGCACGGATGGCTTGAAGCAGACTCAGCGTGCCGCTTGGTTGATGAAACATTTTGTCATTTTTCATCAATCCTCCTTCACAGAATACGCACCAGTATTTCATCAGCTCCCTTCGGCTTCCTACCGTGGCCTGGCGCTCAAACATCGATTTTCACGTCGGCAGGAGAGTCTTCACGAAAATGGGCTTGTAGAGTCTTCCCCAGACACTGATTGATAACCTTAACTTGTTCTTCAGTTCTGAAATGTTTTCCAGTGTTGATGAAAGATATGGCATCTGCTGCAACACGTCTAGCGACCCAGCCGATGGGTCGCATGTCCTCGGCACCGACCATGGTTGCTATCCATTGAACAGGCAAGCCGCTCCAGCGAGCAAAGAAGGGAGCAAAATTGACCTCCGCAGAACCGTTGCGGACTTGATTCGTTTCAGGCCTCGTCGTAGCCCACGATCTCTGCGGAGCCTGGGGCAAGACGAAATAACCATCACCGGGTGGGGTTTCGTTTGGGGATTCGTTTTCTCTCATCGGACGATATCCCACGGCTGTTATTGCAACTTCGTAAAAGGCCTGATAGGCAGCGTTGAGGCTTTTCTGATTGGCGTCCAAATATTCGATAGTGCCAAAGCTATCCAACATAGATGCATGTAATTTTCTTTCTACAAGGTGTACCTGCCAGGTCTGGACCTCTGAGCAATAATGTTCATTGACAACGTTTCCTCTCCAGTATTCTTTGCCCGAGCTCTTATACGCTACTCCCTTTCTCAAGACGACTTCCCACGCAGAAGTGCCATTGGTGATTTTCGTAGGGTCACTGCTGAAGCCGACGCGCAAGACGTCCAAGTTGCGCAAGGCGCGAGCAACCTTGAACACGCGGGCGTACTTGGACTTGGGACGCATGATGCGCCAGTACAACCAGACCCAGCGGCCGAGGTAGAAGATGGTAGCGGTGAGAAACTCGCGCGGCCCGGCCTCTTTGAAAATGCCCTCAATGATGAAGCGGAAGACGCTCCAAATGACGGCGATGGAAAAGACTGCGAGTTGTGAAATGATGCGGGCAGGCGGCCAACCCCAGACTTTGCGACAAGGAGAAAGACCGGCGATAACGAAACATACGGCGAGGATGAACATGGAGACAATGTCCGCCCAGGCTGCTATTTCTTTTGCGACTTCATCGTCAAAGCGCATAACGGGAAAGCGGGGGAAGCCAATCTCACACGTGTGTCCGAAATGGGATGTTGGAGAAGAAGTGGGAAGCACGCACAGTGGGAGGAAGGTATACACAGGTGGGCATCAAGGCGTGGCCATCAGGGCGTGGGCAACGGACTGTGGGTAAGCTCGAAGAAGCTGGACGAAATGACGACGAAGGAATCGGGAGATAAAGGTAGGATTGAAAGACGGGAAAGGCATGATCGTTGCTGATCGTGAGGACGATTGTAACCGCACGAGGAGATGTTATACCCATGTTGTAAGGGTACATGAAGGACTGCGGTGGGCAGGATCTGGCAAATAGGGAGTGCTCGCACTCGCACGAGCAGAGGAGGAGGCGGGTACAGCATGTACAGAGTCTGTATGTGGGTCCTCTGTACTACAGAGGACCAGTTTTCATAGTACGTCGCAGAAGTGCGGATTTGTACTGCAGCGCGGCACCCATACAAAATGTCGGACATGTCGTATCCAACCAACGGCACACAGTGGATAGCAGGTAACTTACCAAGGGTACCGGTACCCTTCACTACACACACCACAAACGCTTACTCCTGCATGTTGTGATGCAGAACACTATTGAAGGTACTATCACGTACTGCCCGACTTCTCTCGGCTTAGGGTGACCCCACCGCGCCTTGCCCAAAATCGCAAAAAGCAGACAGTTGTCCTCCGGTAATTGGATCTACTATCTTTTAATCAAGCCGCGCTTTGGGGGAGGTGGTGATTCAGAGATGAACCCCACCGCGCCTGTAACACGATACTTCTATCATATTCAGGGTCACTCCAATTAGGCTACAATTTGGCGCAAAGAAGCAAGCTACTGCACGCGTCTGTTTCACAATTGGCGCAAAAGCCATTTGGAAGAGCTTTGGTAGAGCTGTAAGCACATGAAATTCAGATGTTTTCTGTACCGTTACTGTAGAACAAAGCTCGCCCAAACGGCGCTTTGGACAAAAATCTCGACCAAATAATTTTGGTTTGGAAAAGAATCCTGCCCAAATTCTAAACTTTAGGACAAATGCTGGCGCGGTGGGGTTCAAAATCTCTTCCATCGGTCCAAACTTTAGTAGTTGGAATTTTAGGACTGAAATTTTGTTGGCGGTGGGGTCACCCTTAGATGCCCACGTACTGTACACTACCGTATACTGTAATGTAAGGAAACTCGGTAATCCCTGAGGGGTTGGCCAGTAGAATATAAAAAAACAGCCTTCTCGCTACTATTGAACCGTTGTTGTCATATGAGGACACTTTTCGACTTATTTTTTTTCTGGACTTGGGCTTTCTTGACAAGAAAGAAAAACATACCCCCGCCACCGTACATGGCTCCTGCCCTGGGATCGGAAAGAACTTTGCGAGAATTGCATGTTCTTCCTGGTCGTTTTTAGATGTGCCTGGTTTTTTAAACCACCTTAAAACCGCATGTAAAATAACTTCAAAAACTAAAAACGTCGGATTAAATCTGCATTACATTCTTAATCGTTCTGCGTATTCAAAGCTCCTATCCCGGCGTTCTGCGTGATGCTATTGCCGAAAACAAGTACGCTAATAAAATAATATTCAAGGTAGCTTTTAAATTGTTCCATTTCATCCATTTTTTAAAAAAACAGCTTGCCTCAGATGAGGACAAGCTCCGGTCAGATAAACACTAGCAAAGAGAAAACACATGTGAGAAAGAACTTGGAGAGCTCGAGAGAGGGTGGGAAGGCGGGAGAAAACAGGACATGTGAGAACGTGCGCAGCAGCCAGAGGGCTCCCAGTCAGAATGGGTGAGAGCAGAGAAATGGACATGACAAGACCGTCCCCCGCGACACAACTCGATGTTTGCAGCAAAGGACAATGCCAAAGCTTGGGATGGTGACAGCAACCGGTGCTGCCATTTTGATCTGCTCGCAGCTCCCTGTGCTTCCTTCACTGCCGAACCCAAGTGCATACAAACATGATAAACCGCCTTTTGAAAAGAAAACGTAGGATGCCAAGTTGGGATCCCTGAATACTTCGTTCTACAACTCATAACTGTCCCGCTCCCCCCTGGGACGCGGGGGCGACGAATGCTTTATTGAGTGGGCGACGGTGTCTCCTCATGCTCAATCTCTGCCTGTAACTACAGCATACAAGACATCTACGAGGCATTATTCATGTTTACTTGTGAATTGAACACGGAACTTTCGAGAAAGGCCCATTTCCTAAGCTATTATTCATGTTTACTTGTGAATTGAACGCGGAACTTTCGAGAAAGGCCCATTTCCTAAGCTACCTCTCTTCATATCCCCGAAAAACGTGAATTTCTACCACTATTAAAGACAGAGGGCTGCTCCCGTTCTACAAATTTTCCGCGGATTGACCACACAGGTCCGTCCACTCCTATCGAACCCTATAACAAGACAGCCGTCGCTATACACATGTCCAACAGTACCCACCATTTCAACTTCTTCCACCCATCGAACCTGGAGGATAGCTTGGCTCATCACAATAAGAAACCACGATGTAGGATACTGACGTCGGCCACGTCGGAGTGATCCAGCATTGTACCTCCCTCCCAGGCTCACACCCTGGCACTTCTATCCTGAGCGAAATCCCGTGTTTCCCGGTTTCTTGTTATATTCTCATTGTTTTCTTAGCATCTCCAGGTATCTTACCTTTTCACCGGTCTGTTAAAGTCAAGTCGCAGTGTGCTGTGAACATATATATATATACATATGTATATAGACAGTAAAAACTGGGAGACAGACTAAACTCTATCAAGCGTTTAAGAAAACGAGAGTGGTGGACTTTACGTTGGCCGACTGCAGGTAAAACTGGTCCAAGCCACACGACTGCATCCTCCCAATATGCCCTTCTGCTCCACCACCACAGCATCATGACTTATCATACATGCATCTCCTTACGGTTATGAAATCAACTGCGGCATCCTTTGTCCGAATACTCACAACGCCTCTACCTTTTCAACTCTATCTTCGTCCTCACGGCAACTTTCGAGCCGATTCCTGATCTCCACACTGGGCATCGTGTATACGGAACTGTACGGGAGAAATTTCTCAGGCCTTCGCTCTATGCCTCGTAGAAAACTTTGTGCAGTACAGTGCTGAAACCTCAAAACCCAATATCTTTGTACACAATAGAAAACAATTGCATTCATACTGGGAATGTTTAGTTAGACTGTAAATTGAGGCGAAGGCGAAGGCAAAGGGATCTTCAAAAAACCGAGTCAGTTCCTAACCATTTGAATTATGCTCAGACATACACAGCCACTATCATATCACTGCGTGTATTGGGATGCTCAGCATCAGCACCTGAAGTCTTGTTCTAATTCTTCACAAGGAGTGAGACTTGATCATTGTCACAGGAAAAAGCTGCTCTTCTTTCCACGGAGTACAGGCCGTCAACAGAATATCAATCTCTTCGACAGGCTCACTGACGGTTCGTGATCCCCCCTCTATCCTTTCCTTTCCTTCAATACATCCTCTGTAAACGAGACATGGCTTTCCTGTTGTCTCAAGATAGACTCCCAGACTTTCGGACATACAGCATGCCCTGCATTTGTATGTCAAAAATTAGGACAAACTCCTTTCCGCCTCCAATACGTGTTTCAGTAGACAGAAAGCCCGGAGCCACCCAGAAACCTTCTCATGTCAGGATCTTTTTGCGAGTTTACATTTAATCTTCGAAAACAATGCTCGTCGATCGCAGGGATGAATATTTGCTGTTCTCCGAAACCATTTTCTCGCATGAGTCAAAACTATTTCCTAGACTCTTGTAGGTGCATCAAGGTACACCATGACTTATTTACCACCTTTCAAAATGAAGGTGAAGTATGATCAGTTTTTGGCATAGTGAAGTTTAAGATTTTCGTCTCGCAAATAGTCTAATTTCAACCCTCGCTCTTAGAGATGTTTGGGATCTCCTTGTAACAAAAGTACAACAAAAATCAGCTTACATTCAAGGAAGGGTAGGACGCAATCGTGAAAGTAATCACGCGTTTCTGCGCGTCCCATGGATTGCTGGGTGAAAAGCAGGCACCTTATATATGCCAGCTTTTGTTTGTACAGTAGACAATGCCAAATCTTGGTCTTGTATATTGTTTATGTCATGAAAGGGCAATTCTCAAGACTTGATATGCTGCTGATCCTTGCAGACAAAGAGTCTCCATGTTTTTAAAAAACCTTCTGTCGAGAGCTGTTATGAAAGAAAAAGATCGATTTTTTATAACAACACCGGAACTTGAGAGGCTCCCGAACTTGAGACAGGTTTGATCGTTGACATATGTACACGTGAACTATTACTTTGTATCTATGTGGTATTCCATTACTGCACCAAGCTATGTCAGAGGTAAACATCCGGTTCGTAGAGACTGCACCGATTTCATGTAATTGTGGATGCGACGAAGTCTGGCACCCCATAAAAGTGGCGCGGACGGTAAACATTTGATTTTTAGAGCGTCGAGGGCACTGGGAGTTGCGGTGAAAATAAAGTACTTTTCTACGAGGGCACGGGCACGGTACGAAGTTGCGTGGACCGCATCGCATGTACGTGGCCAGTGTCAGGCCTTCCTTCTGAATTGGACACTGTTGAAACTTACTAATTTGTTGTTGATACCAACAACAACTATCCACAGGGCTTCAAAAGAAAGTGAAGTCAGTGTCATCAGGAATAGAGACCACTGTGCTTACACAGTGGCCCTGTAATGCTATGTG